GGAATGTTTTGTTTTCCTTCGACGAACGCGCGCCTTCTCAAGCAACAGTTCAGAAGTCAAGCTGCTATTGTACTGGGCAGTACTGGGCAGTATCATCCGAAGAGATGGGAGATAGCCCAACTACCACAACACTTCTGGCTAGGGATTGAGGCCCTTAAAGGGTATATATAGCGCCCTCATTCCCTCATTCCCCAACCATGGGGCCTTGCGCACCTCGGAAAGCAGCAATCGTTGGCAAAGCTTGACGCAAGAAGTGGAAAATGGCGAGTCATGCGAGTCTAGAAATCTCATAGTTGATCCACATCTTGAGATGGCATTGGGATTTGCCGTCATGTCCCAACCACCCAACACGTGCCAACCCTGTGACTCACTGTGAAACCCTCCACAACCCCAACACCTCAAACCATCCCTTGCCCACATAAAAAATGACAACAGGGCGACAGAAGGATCCCATCTCCATCAACTGACATGCTACCGATTATTAGAGACAGAGTAAACGAGATGGTCGGACCCCTAACATGGTGATATATGTTAGAGACCACACGACTCCCTACAGCGATGGCCGCGATGCTGCAAATCTTCTTTGAATCGGATGAGCTTTCGGACCCAAGCATGCCCAAAAAAACCCTCAGCCGTGAACTCTAAGTCTAAAGAAAACTCCATTGCCTTGCTGTGGAACGGATGGAACTCCAGCTGCTTGCGTTTCCAGCAAGTGCCTCGCCAAGACCCTAACTCAGGCTCAGGGTTTATAGGGTTTGTTGTGAAGCTTCTTACTTAGTCATACCATTCCAGGCAATAGATTTTGGATGTATAACATTCCTGTAAGTTATGGTACTTTGCCTAAGCAAAGTAGGAATCATGGGGTCCTCGGGACTAGGAGAAGGATTTGGGAACAGTGCCACGCGATGCATGAGTTCATGGTACAGTGCAGTCCGGATAACTCACGCCTCAAACCCTAAACCCTGTGAGCTTCCATGGTTCGTAGTGAGAAGGGGATCGTATCCGGCCTAGCGCGGGTGGTTCCAAGAGCGGTGTATTAAGGGCACGACGTTGAAAATTGCGAGCAGGAGTCCTGGAGAGGCTGAATCCAGCTATCACAATGCAGCGGCTTCGTGCATGAAATCCAGCCGGCCGAAGAAACAGATCCTGAAGACCTTCTCCAGGACGTGAACTCTACACGCACATGACACACCGAGGCCTTGTCAGCACAGGCGGAAGCTGAGTGCGAACGAAACGAAGTTGGCATGGCCCCTGTGAGAGGGCGAGGGGTTGATAGCATATTTACGGTTCTGGGTTGATTTAGCGAGTCCGCTCCTGGTAGCCCTCCGCTAGCAAGGCAGCCCCCATAACTGAGAACTCGTGGGACCTGGATTATTGTCTTGCTCAACATGCGGGCTGGCCATTGTAGCCGTTGAGTTGGAGAAGTCAGCTACTCCAAAGCCCAACAAATCAGCAAACCGGTAAACCCCAAAGCGCCTGAACCACCGAAAGCAAAGGATTTTGTGGTCGACTCTGATATATGGGCACCGAAGCTTTGCATGTTGATGCGACAAAACGTCCCCAATGCCTATAGCTGACAAGCGAAAATAATAAAATCCCGAACCTGGATCTTTCAGCCCTCTAATCACTAGTCTCCGAACCTCAGGGATTGAAAGCTCAGGGCGCAGAGCTCGGCTAGGAACTTGATGGCGCTTGAGTTATACGGGCTGTAGGGGTTTCAAGAGCTCTGGGGCTTTAGGGGCTTGGGGCTTCGGAAGAATCCAGAGGAACCCTGGAGGGTGAGGTAGGGGCTATGTTGGGGCTGCTTAGGAATATAGGGCTCCAGAAAGTGTACAAAGTCAAGGGTTATATCGGGTAGCAAGGTCTGAGACTCTTGGGGCATCCTTGGGGATGGACCCACAGTACTTTACTTGCCATACGTAAGGGACTAAGAACCTCATATCTGCAAACTTCTGAGCACTTATGACTCCCCTATAGCTCTTTTGATCCCTGAACTCTCTATCACTCCACGAAGCCTCCAAACCCCCATTCCCCCATTGGCGCCCGACTGCCGCGCTGGCAGCTGCGGCGGCCCACCACAAGCGGCACACGGCACACGCTGCTGCAACGGGATCAATACCCCCAGGAGCTATATGGGGCCCTGTGAACGCTACGTTGTGCTTGCTCAATCATACAAGCATAGCTGCTTACTGCGTGAGAGAGCTTCCCGGCTTCTTCTAGACAGCAACACCCATGGAGTCAAGTATCCACATGTTGTGTCATGTTGCTCAATGCACAGGCACCGAAGGCGGCTGCAGGTGTAGGAAACGATTCGCAAAATCCTGGGGCCATACCCAACATCCTTCAACTACTTCACATTTCTTAAGTTGTTACAAGGAGCCCACTATGATTTTAGGAATATGGGCGCTGATGATCCAAGGTACCCCCTGAGAACCCCATGTCTTGGGAGCAGAACAAATTGGTGTGCGCTTTGCTGCGATGGAAAGCCTTGTAAACGTGCTCTTGGTGGCATGTCTCACGGACTCCGCAGTTGCTCCCACGTTCCCTGGAGGCGTTCTGGAGTCAAGCGATTAGGGTCGGTGAAGCTTTTTTTCCGGGTGAATCTGAAAGATACGTCGTTTCGCCCAAGCACCTTAAAGCCTACCGTTATACTTCCATGGACTTCACAATTCGGTCCCTCGATTCCTGAGCAAACAATAGCTAGGTCCCTGCAGGTATAGGTCGAGTATTAACGCTGCGCCGTCGTAGGGTTTAGGGTTTAGGGTTTAGGGTTTAGGGTTGAGGGTTTAGGCTGTCACGAGTACCGGGGGCTTACAGGGCGGCCTTGGCTCACAGGGATATTATCGAGGCGCGCGAAGTCTCTTGGAAAAAAGGGTTTAGGGTGTAGGGTTTAGGGAGTGCTCGGTGGTGGGGGTCCAAGAACTAGGAGAGGGTTTAGGGTTTGGGGTGAAGATCAACCTGAACTCAGAACCCTGAACCTTCATTCCAAAGCCCTGACAATCCCAACGCCCTGCAGTGTTGCCTAGCATTCAAGGTTTTAAGGTTCGATCAGGGTCGGGCCAAGGTTTCGGGCGGTTTCGGGCCCCAAGTGATGCCAGGTTCTCCTTAACCCTAAGCCCTAAAGCTGCTTGTAACCAGGAGTTGGTGGCCGAGGGAGCTTGCTAGCATGGGCTCCATCTCTCTCGGAGTGTGAACCGGCTTTGCTGCGTTTTCCATGCTGCGCCAGGGACTCTGGTCCCATGGACTAAGTGTCGAGTGCAGGGGGTAAGGGCTTGTGGCAGCATGCCCAGGTTGTCTGTTTCATGTACGGGATGGAAGAAGAGAAGGCGTAACAGTCAGTGATTCTTGGGTTTGGCGTTTTGAGTTTGGTGGGGTCTGGGAAGCTGGCTTTATGGCAGGTTCGGGAGGCGTGGGCCCAGTGTTTCTTCTGTTTGCAAGTGGGCGGGCCCGACCCGCCCCCCAACCGGCCGCTCTTTTCAGCTAGAAGGTCGTGTCGGCAATGGCCCATCATCTTTCCAAACCCATTATACCAGCATCGTGTTTGCATGCCGGGGGGGGGTTCTGCTGCCCCCCAACCCCCGCTCTTTGATTTTTGCGTGAAGTCTTATGCACTGAGGACACGAAGACCTAAACTCAGAAGAAGTCCCTGTGAGGCCCACTTCAGCTTGGGAGAGTAAGACTGAGGGGCTGAATAATACCCCAGCCCAAAAAAGGTTAACCTTTCAAACATACTAGGATTCTATATCACCAAAAAAAGTTAAAGGCTACCTACCCCGCTTCTAGGAAGAGCTCGGCTGCGGGAAAGTGCTCACTGGAAGAATGGAAGAGAAGCCGCCATCCCGGGTATTTACTAGTCCGGCTAGCACAGGCACAGGTGGCGGGGCAATGTGTAGGGCTGTCTCTCTCTTTGTATGCCAGTATACGTGTATACATATTATAGAAACCCCAAACCTAAACCCTAAACTTCACACCCCGGAGCATATACCAGAGGCACAAGAGCATGACTTTGCATAAGGGCTGCTTCTGCTGACTACTCCCCCCCCCCCCCTCCTAGTATTGAACCCCCCACCCCCGAATCTTAAATACCCTAAACCCTAAACCCGATGATCGCTGCATTATAGTATATGGGGGCCAAGCGGCGGTTTCTCATCATGTGTCGCATTAGGCTCAGCACTTGGAAGCTCTTTTGACGTCCCAAGTAGGTTAGAAAGCTGGGTTTTCAGGGTTGAGGGTTCAAAAGGGTTCTTTTATCTTAGGGTTTAGGGTTCAAAAGGGTTCTTTTACCTTAGGTGTTTAGGGTTCAAAAGGGTTCTTTTATCTTAGGGTTTAGGGTGTAGGTACTAGGGTATCCAGGGGTTGCTAAGTAGAGTTTCCCTAAACCCTAGACCCTAGACCCTAAACCTCTAACGCTAAGTCAGGCCTGACAGCCTGGCTTAAGCCTGGCAGCTTCAGGAAGCAAGATGCGACAGACCTTCCCGCAACAACTTCGCGACAACCCGAGTATCCTACACCCTAAAATACCCTAAACCCTAAGGTAAAAGAACCCTTTTTGAACCCTCAACCCGAAAGCTGCACTTGAGGCTGCCCGGCGCCTGCCCCAAGATCGCTGGGGCGGAGCTGCCGGCGGGACCGTCGGCACAGTGACCTGTTGAGGGGCTTCGGGTTTAGGGTTGAGGGTTGAGGGGCTGATCTAAAGTCTCCTGGCTAGAGGTCTTGCCTTGGGATGTTCCTCCTGGTTACTAACAGTCCTTTACCGGGGATTGAAGATCGGAGGGAGGCTTAAGGATCTTCGGTTGCAGGCTCACAAGGTCCTGCAGCGCAATGCGCGTTCAAGAGGCCTTTTGCTTGCCTCGAGAGTGCCATCCGGCTCTAGCTCAAGCAGGCCCATTCCCTTGAGGAGCGGGCAAAAGGAGAAAGCGTGAGTGCAGCTAGCAAGAATGCAGCGCGTTCTTCACACGGGGGGCGGTTTTTCGCCCGAAACTTTGTAAAGTGGGCCGGCATCAGTCCGGTGTCAGTGCAGCTGTCGAAGAGGCTGCGGCTGACGTAGGCCTTGCTGTCGGGGCCTCAGGGACATTGATGACTGCGGCCAGGAGTGGTGCGGGAATGGGAGGCAAGCCAGGGATGCCCTCTATGACCTCGTTGCAGCACGTATTGCAGGGTCGGCGTCGAACAGGTACTCGATCGGTACGTTGGTTGGCACACTCGAAGCTGTGGTGGTAGACCTCGCCGAAGGGACACAAGTACACGTCGCCAAGGGTGTGGTAGCGGGCCCTGTAGTTCTGGAAACGTCGAACGTAGTCCTGTAGCGCTCGCAGTCGGTGGGCCAGATCCCGGTTGATGGCGAAGGCTTGTTCCAAGGTCACTCCTTGTCGAGCACGTTGCAAGTCTGTCTGGACATGGACGTGGGCGTTGGCAACGTGGTCGGTCTGTATGTTGACGTTGATGCCGTCGAGGTACTGCAGGGTCTCGGTCTGGACGTCGATGTCGATGGCGTTGTCGGTCTGGACGTCGATGTCGAAGGCGTTGCGGTACTGGACGGTCTCGGTCTGGACGTCGAGGTCGATGGCGTTGTGGTACTGGACGGTCTCGGTCTGGACGTCGATGTCGATGCCGTTGTGGTACTGGATGCTCTCGGTCTGGACGTCGATGTCGATGCCGTTGCGGTACTGGATGCTCCTGGACCAGCAGCGTCGACAAACTTTGACCAAGCGCTCCGGAGGGCCGCAGTACAACGTCAGAAAGCCAATGAAGAAGCACAGAACGGTGGTCAAAGAGGCCAGCACGTCAAGCAAGACGTCGGTGTAGGGGACATGTTGGCGCATCGCAGTCTGGACCACGGCCGGGTAGAGCTCGGCGGCGGTGGTTGGTACGATGTTGGCGACCACGCTGGTGACAAAGAAAGCTGTACCAACAGCGCCTTGACCTGCGCGGGCTCTCGGCAAGGCGAACTGGTTGGCCGACTGCGCTCGTTCTTGGGCTGTCTTCTTCCTGGCGGCCTGGTAAGTCTCATCCGCAACTAGCTTGACCTGGTGTGTTCGCAACCGGTTGGCAAGCAGCTGCGCTGCCGAGTTTTTGGTCAATCCATCGGCATATTGTCTTTCCGAAGATATCCAGCGCGTTGTAGCGCCGATCTCCTTGAGCTTGTCTTTCGTGGTGAGTGTCTCCAGCGCTGTTCTTTTGTCTGAACCGGAAGTGGCTTGAAGCTCGTCGCGGGCCAGGAGGTCGTAGAGGCACTTTGCGTCCACCACCAGCGCTGGTTTGTTTGGCCAGAGGAAGGCGTCCTTGGAGTTGAACTTCAAGTCGGGGTCCAGAAGGGCCTTGTAGAAGCACACGGTGTAGTGCAAGCAGTCGGCAGCTTCGGAGGCTGCCTGAGACTCAGCGGCCAAGGTGGAACGAGCAACTCTGGGTAGTTTGAACGACCGCCAGTCCAGGACGTGGTATCGCCCGACAACTCCAGACTCCACCACGTCCTTGTGGACCATAAGGATGAGGTAGCCGCCTTGGCTGGCCAGGTCGTCCCTTGTGGCAAAAGCAGCGTCAGAGAAAGCAACGAAGGTGAGGTCGTTGAGGTCGCCCAAGGGCGTGTACTCCAAAGCTGCGTCGTTGTTGGCCTTTGCAAAGCGAAGCATCTTGTTGGCTGCCAGGAGGTCGTTGACGGTGCTCTTTTGCACGGTGCCAGCAAGCATGGAAGTCATGACCTGCAAGTGTGGCGAGGTCTGCGTGGCCGCCCATTGAGTTGCCCCGATCAAGCCAGTGCGTTCCTTCTCGGTCACTGGCTCCTCTGCGGCGGCCTGTCTGTTCTTCTCGATGGGGATGGGCTTCACCTTGTGGAGGTAGTCCTGGTGATCGTATCGGAAGCCGCCCTCGTCGAGCTGAGACAGCTTGGCACCCAGGAACTCAAAGTCGTTCTGGTTCTCCCGGAAGTCTCGGAACGCGAACTGGTTCTTGAGATCGGCCTTGATCTGCTCGTATGCGGGGTGCGGTTGGTCGGCCACGCCCAACAAGTCGTCGACGTGTAGACCAATTGCACAGACCAGCTGTTGGGCTCCATTGGCGTCGAGGGCATAGTAGCAGAAGAGGCAGCCATCAAGAGGGTGCCGGACAAAGCCAATTGTTTGCAATCGACGAACAGCCTCAAGATACCAAGATCGTGGTGCGTCGATCAGCCCGTACATGGGTTTGCGAAGCCTCATGCATGTCTTTTCGCTCGAAATGCCCAGCAAGTCCCTGGCGTCCTTGGGAAGCCGAATCCAGAGAGTCCTTTCGGCAGGATGCTCTTGGCCTTGAAGGAAAGCCGTTGATATGTCAGCAACAAAGGTTCCCCAGCTCTTGTTCGCGGCCAAGGACAGGAGGCACGACCGTCCGAGACGAGACAAAGTTGGCGAAGTAGATTCCAGATTGCCAGCCAGGGCATCGGGATCGCGGAAGCCTTGCGTAATCAGCCTGGCCTTCGCTCGGGGCGATCCATCTGGATGCTTTGACCATTTCAAAATGAAGTGGGCCTTCAGGACACGGCCGGGTACTGCCTCGTCTTCGGTTGAAAACTCCCAGACGTTGTTAGTGAAAAAGCTTGCCAGCTCCTTCCTCTTGGCCTCCATGAATGCAAGGCGGTCGGACAGGCTCATTGTTCTCTCAGTCAGGCTCTTGGCGTCCTTTTTCCTCTTGGCTGCGGTTCCGGCATATGTGTGTTGTCCAGCTGATGCCGTGTAGAAGGCCTCGGATGCTCCCCGCCTGTCCCGGGGCTGGATCTTGAAGATGGTGCGGCCGGTCCAGGGCTCGGCGGGTGTAGATGTCCCGGAGCGCCATCTATCTTCGTGACGGTGGCTTCCGATACATGTGTGTCGGGTCTTTGTCAGCATACTTGTCGGAATGGGGCAATCGCCGGTCTCCTCGGGATGGAAGAGAGTGTCTCTGGCCACGTAGTGGTGCCGGATCAGCTGGTTGCCCTTCATCTCCCAGACATCGTGGATAGGTTCAAGGCAAAGGTAGCCATCCTCAACGAACCATCCGGCAGGCAAGTTTTCGTGTAGGCCTGGTGCGTCAGCACTATCGGGCGGCAGCACGTCGACCAAGAAGGACTGCTCCACCAGGCTCTCCTTGGCTTGCGCTGCGGTTGGCGGTCGCTGGTCTGTGACAGGGCGGGGGCCGTATGGCGTTGAGGCGGACTCAGGGCGTCGGAGCTGAGGTCCGTAGGCAATGGTTTCCTGTCTGTCCAGGCGGGCACGTCGTTCATGAAATGACTCGCCTGGCTGGGGGGCATATGATGGATGTATGGCCTGAGCTGCAATGGCTCCACCGACTTGCTGTTGCTGTTGCTCTTGAGGCTTGTTGTCCTCCTGGTCATGGTCGGCAGCATTGGCGGGGCGGTCAGAAGCTGAAGGGGAATACTGTTCCAGGTCGGTGTCGATGAGGTCGGAAGGCACCTTGGGAAGGTTCTCCGGCAGCATGGGGGAAACCACAGGTGAGGTAGGCGCCAAGGAGGTAGGCGTGACAGTGGAGAGCTCTGGCACGTCTGGCGTCTCAGCAGTTGGTATCGGCGAGGCTGGCGGAAACCCAGTGCTCGTCGTAGAAGACAAGGTCGGGCCGACCGCACCTCCGGGCGGAAAAGGACCAGGAGTGAAGCGAGGGTCGTCGGCGTCAGGCTCGAACATCTCCTCGTCAGAGTCCGGGGCCACATCGGTGAGGGCGCGCTTCTTGTTGGTGCGGACGAGGTCGGTGTAGGTGGTGGTACCTCTGTTCTGCACGTCGCGGACCAAGGTCAGAAGGTCGCGGCCGGAGCCAGCCAGCGTGGTCGACTCGATGTCGGGCCGCACGTGTTCTGGGGCGGCGCGGATGAGCGCAGTACCATGCACCAGCCAGTATACGGTGGGTAGCGCACGATGTCCCTGCTCAACCAAAACCACTGTGGCCGGGCCTTTCCATCGAACTCTGGGTCCGGGCCCCGCTGCCTCTCGCCAATAGTAACACCGTTGCCCGACATGCAGAAGAGGAGCTTCTCCACGATGTTGTCGCAAAAGAGCACGGCGCAACCGCAAGTCTGCATCGGCCTTGATGACGGCCGTGGCGGCAGTGGCTCGCGCCATCATGTTCTTCTGGAACGCTTCAGTGGGATGCAAATGACTGGGGTTCAATTGTGAATCGAGGAGAGAGCCAGGTAGAGAGGGCTGATAGCCCAGCACCCACTGCGCGGGGCTGTACCCCCCTACAGAGAGGGTTTGGTTCAAGGCAGGGACAACGAAGGTGAGAGCCTCCACCAGCCCATCCATAGTGTTGCTGTTGTGTTCCTCCATATACACGTCGACTGCCTTGCGCAATACCTGGTGTCGTCTCTCCAATTGCGCCAGTCTCTCGTGGGCCTCGCCAGGTGACACGACAATCTCGAAGTTGTGCTCAGTGGCAAAGTCCCTGACCTCAGCGCTGCCCCAACCACGATGTGAGTCGACATGGAGTGCTGCAGGCGCACCAAATGTACGGATCCAACCACGCTGCAGCGCTCGCAGAAACTCACTGGACGTTTCGGAGTTCAAGACCCTGGCGGCGAGGTAGCGCGTCGCACTGTCGAGCATGGTCAAGACGGGTGTTGGTTTGCCCGCCACCTGCAGCCACACAGTGTCGGCCAACAGTCGTTCGTTGAACTTGTAGGTGGATCGCAGATTGGTCTTGGGCACCTGTGGCGGCGGGGCCAGCCTGGCGCACACTGGGCATTCGTACCCAGCAGCCGTGTCGAGAACCACGTCACCGGCTCCATGGTCTTGCAGAATTTTTCGAAGGTCCTTGTTGGATGGGTGTCCAAGGTTTCGATGTATTCGTGCCACGAGTCGCGCAGCCACTGCAGGGGATGTGCACGACAGTTGCGCCAGGGCACCGGTTGGCCTTGGGGCGTCAGTGTCAGGCATGACGGCGTCATCCGAGGTGCCCTCGCCGGAGGAAGTGTTTGCTATCTCACCCACAAAGCCGTGCTCCATTGGGGTGCCGCGGTGATAGGCTTCCGTCAGGTGTCTGGCGAAGATTTCGCAAACGTCGGCTGTGGCTGCCACGCGTGACCCAAGGCTGGCATTGTTGTCCAACAAGGTTAAGTGGTAGTGCTCCTTGTTGCACCTGTAGCCCGACAGCTCGGCGAGAAGGTCGTCGTCGTTGCTTGCCAAACGGATGGCCTTCTGGATGGGATAGAAGACGCCACTCTCATCTGGAAGTTGTGCTCCGAGCATACACTGGTCCACTCGCACAGAACGTCCCATTCCATGGAAGGCAGGTGTTCTCCACGCGGCACTCGAAGCAGGATGCACCACTACGATCACGCTTGAGGCACACATTCTTTTGAAGATGCGCCGCACGAACTTGAGGTGTCTGGCGTGGTGGGCTTGTCTGTCGAGGTAAAGGAGCTCTTGCTGGAGCGGGGTCTGGCAGTTCAGGTTCTGTGTCGGAGTCCACAAAGTGCACGACGGGGCCAACCAGATCACATGGGGGCGTTCGGCCTCCAGCTTCTCCAAGAAGGCCTTGCGATGGTCGGGCAGGTCAAAGTTCCACTCGGGCTCGTCGAAGATCTGCACCTCAAAGCCGTTCTCCGCCATTGCGGCAGCAAGGCCACCCGATCCACTGAAGACCTCCCAGAACAAGGGCTTGTCTTTGGTGACGGCGCGGTAGGCTGTGTCGACGACACGATACACATGTCCCACAGCTCGGCGAACACCTGCCTGGAGCGTCTTCCACAACTTGGCAGGCACGGTCTGTGAGTGCGCAGGAACAAGGTGGTCTTCGGAATTCCCGGCATCGTTGTCGGTCGGGTCCGTCTCGCCACCCAGCAAGTCGTCGGAGGTGTAGAGGGCGTGCTCTGGCCCGCTGCGACCGCTGTCCTCGAGGTAGGTCTGGAGCGTGTCGAGGGGGATGCTCTGGATGAAGTCCTCAACCTTGTCGTCGGTCACGTAGTCGAAGATGTGGCCGGTGTCCTCGGTGAGGCCGTCGTCGATGGCTAAGAGGTACTCTCCCTTGCTGCCCTGAAGGGCTTCCGACCACGGCTCGTCCATAACAGAACACCTGTCCAGCTCGTAGTCGGTCTTCACCTTGAGGGCCTTCAAGACGGGGCGTCCCACCAAAAGGGGCATGTTGCCCTCGACAATGAAGCACTGTATCCTTCCTTTTGTTCCACCGACCCAGACGGGGAGGTGGATGCACCACGAAGCTTGGGCTCGATTGTCGCCACCAAAGAGAAAGGTCTTGTCAGTGCGGGAGAAGCGGAACTCTTCGGCAGAAACACCCTGGGAGAGGAAGCCGTCGAGGAGCTTCATGAGGTATCCGTGGCCTGTCACCACAGATGAGGCGCCACCATCCTGGATGCCAACGCAGCGACCGAAAACATCGGCGGCCAGCTCGTGCACTTCAACGTCGGGCGTCGGGCCGGAGACCATCATAGCGTCGCTGGGCTTTGGTCTCTTTGTTGGGCTGCCGCCAGTGCTGGCGGCGACCTTGGTGGGGCATTGCGACGCCCAGTGTCCGGGCTGTCCACATCTCAGGCACTGAGTCGCGGCTGCCCGGGCAGGGGCCTTGGACTTCCCACTTGGAGATCCCTTGGCACTGTTGGATCCCTTCTTGGTTTTGCCTTTTTGCTTGCCCTTGCCCTTCCCAGAAGGCGGGGCAGTCGCGGTGACCGGCAACTGGGATTGGTGTCCCGGACCGTCAACCAGGGCCACGACTGGGTAATAGCCGCGAGAGGACCGCACCTCAGCGAGCTTGCGACGGGCATCCAAGTAGGTGGCGAAGGCTTCTTCCTCCTCCTCGTCGTAGTCCTCGGCCTCGTAGAAGGCGGTGTCAGGGCTGTAGTCGTGGTCCGTGGCTTCCTCGGCCCAGGTCTCTTCATCTTCCGGGGCGTCATCGTAGTCGACCTGGAATGCGGATTCATCGGCGTAGGGTTCGGCGCCATCGGGCTCGGCATACTCGAAGTCGTCATGGTAGTAGGCGGGGTAGGCTGTGCGGTGGTTCCAGCTTCGCTGAGAAGTGTAGCCCTTCCCCTTGCCAAAGCTCCGTTGGTCGTTGCCAGTGGTCCGCCATGACGAGGTGGCCTTGTAGTCTTGGCCGAACAGGAAGTACATAACTTCCTCCACCTTCGAGGTGGTAATCTTCTTGTCTTCCATCTGGCTCAGGATCAGCTGGCGTTGTTCTTGGGACAGGGAAGCTCGCCGCAGAAGCAGCCAGCCAGACACGGCATCTGGGAGCTTCACGTCATACTTCTCCAGCTCTCGCTCGGCCTCCCTGTGCTCCGAGCAGTACTGCATCAAAGTCTGGCCTGTAGTTCTTGACACACCGTAGAAGTAGCGTTCAAAGGCTTTGGGCATCTCCACACGCGGGTCGTACTGGTAGATGCGGTCAAGCTGCTTCAGGACTTGCTCGAAGCCGTCGGGGGCGTCGGGGGCTGTCTCTGCAAGGTGTTCAACTTGCTTCCAAACATGCCCTGAGAACGAGGTTAACAAGTTGATGGTCGCCTCCTGACTTCGCTTGTTCAAAACCATCTTCTTGTAGTAGAGCATGACGCGCTTCCTGTACTCCCGGTAGCTGGACGGCTGGCCATCAAAGACGGGGATGTAGTTGTCCTTCGTCACATCCGGCGCGCCACCAGAAGAGGCAGCGCCAGGGCTGCGGTCGGGAACCGGCTGCTTGCCAGATTGTCCCCTCGATGCCATGGCGAAGCACGTCTCCGGAGCCAGTTTAGGCTCCCGCTACCAAATTGAAGATCGGAGGGAGGCTTAAGGATCTTCGGTTGCAGGCTCACAAGGTCCTGCAGCGCAATGCGCGTTCAAGAGGCCTTTTGCTTGCCTCGAGAGTGCCATCCGGCTCTAGCTCAAGCAGGCCCATTCCCTTGAGGAGCGGGCAAAAGGAGAAAGCGTGAGTGCAGCTAGCAAGAATGCAGCGCGTTCTTCACACGGGGTTTTAGTACACACCAGTGCGGGGGCATCCAGGCCCCAGGGAGCTGAGCGAAGGGCTGGCAGACGCACGGCGAAGCTCTAGGGTTTCGGGTTTAGGGTGGGTGAGAAGAATCTGGTACAAGGCCTTTTTTTCTGATCCAGGCAAGCCCCGGGAAATGGCCCCGTCACGTCATGTGGCGGCCGGTAAGTTCATGCTTGGGGCAAGAGTAAGCTGCATTTCAAAGGGCATAGGTTGCTAATCCCCTCCCCCTAATCTTAAACGCCCCCCCTACCCCCCCCCAATATTAAATAGCCCCCCCCAGCACATACTCCAATATGTCGACCCCAAACAAAACAGAATCCCTTAAAGACATCCCCCAAAAGGGTACACCTATGTTCGCAAACCCCCACATGGCGTTCGGGTAAGGATCTACATTCAATCAGCTCCGCAGGCTCAAGCCAGGATCCGGCCGTTCAAATGAATATGGGTTTAGGGTTTAGGGTTTAGGGTTGAGGGTTGAGGGTGGAGGGTGGAGGGTGGAGGGTCGAGGGTCGAGGGTCGAGGGTCGAGGGTCGAGGGTCGAGGGTCGAGGGTCGAGGGTCGAGGGTCGAGGGTCTAGGGTCTAGGGTCTAGGGTTTAGGGTCTAGGGTTTAGGGTTTAGGGTCTAGGGTTCAGGGTTTAGGGTTCAGCACTCCGGGTCGAGCAGCTTTATGGTTAAGCTTTATTTACGGCTCGGATATAACACCCACCCACCCAGAGAATCCCACTACATTGAGAAAGCCAAAAACGGCCAAATTCTGAAAATAAAGCGGCCAAATTCTGAAATTCAATTAGCCTTTGGCCTGATTTTGGCTCATTCTGAAAATAAAGCGGCCAAATTCTGAAAATAAAGCGGCCAAATTCTGAAAATAAAGCGGCCAAATTCTGAAAATAAAGCGGCCAAATTTTGAAAATACAATTAAGGTTTAAATATATATGGTAGAGAGGGTTTAGGGTTTAGGGTTTAGGGTTGAGGGTTGAGGGTTGAGGGTTTAGGGTTTCGGGTTTAGGGTGTCTCAGCAACAAGGCAAGAATCAGGCCTGCCAGACATTTGACTGAACAGTTTAGCGATGTACAAGTACCTGTACTTTGCCTCTCATGTCTCTCATGGTGCCAGGCCAGCAGAAAACAGGTCCGTTTCCACGCACATGCGTCTCGTGAAGACGTCTACGCTAGGGCTCGCGCGACCACTAAGATAACTTAGCAACTTAGCAACATGGGTTTAACATGGGTTTAACATGGGTGTAACTTCTAAGTTTTTGTGTGGTTAGTTAAGCGTCTTAGCCTTAAGCTAGGCAACCCTAAGTATAGTTAGCTTTTGGCTAAGTTCAACATGCTGTGTTCATGCAACAACTTAAAAAAACTTAACTTTTACTTAACTTGAACTTAACTTTTTGATCGATTTCGGGAGCTCAAATTTCGTGCAAAGGCATGTCTGCCCCATGTCATTTTTTCATCCATGCTTTTGTATGTTTTTATAGATTTTGTCCGTTTTCATACATCTCGGACTGCTTTGGAAGCTGGCGGATGTCTTAAATTAGTTTGTGCAAGCACGATGCGTGTTTTCTCGGGTTTTCCGATCTTGCCTCATTATGTCGTAGGGTTCAATGTTAACACGGTCACGAACATACATCTGGTCTTTGCTGCAGACTTTATTCTTGAGACTCTGGGTTGTAAGGCTCACGTGACAGAAGTCGTATACATCACACACTGAGCGCTTTGCGCTGCCATGAGATTGTGAAGTGCAAATTGCAAATTCCGTTACGTAGAGTTCTATGTGCGACAAACATGTACTTGTATACGCGTCGCAAATGTTATCCGCACGTGACGGTTTGCTTTCGTCTCTTAAAAGCGATGGCAGCTTGCCGGCGGATTTTCGTAGCTGCAGGTGAAGTCTAGGAACACCTGGCCCAACTCTTGCGTGGTGCGCTACCCGAGACTCTATTCCTCAGCCCCAAGCCCTTAAACCTGAAACCCCTATAAACCATTATGTGCAGCCCTAAACCCTGCACCCTCCCCTACAGTAAAGTCATGCCGAGCGCTTCGCGCTGCTGTATCGAGCGCAGTGCGCTTCTGCCGTCAAACAGAAAATGTCCAAATTGTTAATGTGTCAACACGGTTGAGCGCTACGCGCTTCTGCCAGTACCGAATTCTTATATCCTGCAAGCGCGCCGTCAAGCGTGTTGTTGGCAGAGCTTAGCCTAACAGCAGCAAGTTACATGGCAGCATTGTTTCAACATGCCAAGCAAGAGCGACGGTCACATGTGAAACTCCTTCATGAAGCCCTTTAAGCCTACACACGTGTGCCTCGCATTCGAGATGGCTTTGGCTCGTTTTCTTCTTCTTTATGGGTCGGCCACCTTCGAGGAAAAATTGGCGGAAGAAATGGAGCGCCTGGAGTCAGAGAAGCGGACGTGGAACAGCGACATTGGCCTCCAGGCGGCTGCCAAGTCGAAGCAGCAGAAAGTGGGGGGCTCTTCTCCAGCGATGCAGCAAGCAGCATGCACAACTGCGCCGCTGCGCACGACCGCCGTGCCAGCTACGACCGGGGCCTTGGAAGCTACAGCTTCACCGGCGATGCCAAGCTCCTGCTCGCAAGGCGCCGGCGCCGCAGCAGACGCTGGCGCTCAGTCCACTCCGCCTTCTTCCCTACCTCCAGACGCTGGCAAGCGTGAGCGTGGCGAGCGCGGTGGGAAGAGGAAGTCATGGTACTGCAAGTGGTTCTATGATCCGACGCGAGGGAAAAGAATCTGTCCGCACACGCGCATAGTGCTTCGGCTAGCATGACTGCTTTAACGGAGTCAGGCGAATCCAAAGGGGGCTACTGTTACGGTCTGGGTTTTGGGCTTCAGGTTCAAGGAGACTGAGAGTATGCCTGCATGTGGCCTGTTTTGCTGTTGAAGCCTTCAGGCAATGTTTTTGTTGGTGTCTCGTTGAGCGCAGGGCGCTGCTGCACTGCATGTGTAGGAGGAAACATGTAAACAATGCAACACAAGAGCGCACGGCGCTGCTGGAGTTGTGCGTGTACTGTCGAGCCGGTTGCGTTTCAGTGCGCGGTGAAACATGCGCAGCTGCTCTTGGTTCGAAGCCAATGTGGACAGCTAGAGATTGGGCAGCGTGGGACAGTCGCTGGAGCGAGGAGGAATGGGAACAGTGGCTGCAAGCACGTCGTCGTGAAGAAGAGTCCGCTTCTTCGCCTGCTGGTGTGTCCGCTGCCGCCAACGAGTCGCAGAAGCGGCCTGGCAGCGACCTTGGCCAAGCCGCGCCCCAGTTCAAGCAGCAAAAAACGGGGGCGCCTTCTCCTGTGGCCTCGCCGGCAGCGCCTGGGCAGACTACCTCTGCGCCAGCTGTTGCGGCAAAGACTGGGGCCTTGGAACCTACAGCGTCGACTCCGCTGCCAAGCTCCGGGGCAACACTAGCTGGCGGCGCTGCGGCTGCAGGTCACGCTCAGCTCTTGCCACCTCCGCCACCTCCTGCAGTGCCTCCAGACGCTGGTGCTGGAGATGCTGGCAGAGGCGACATCGTGGTGAGGGCAGAGGAGGTGGAACAGTTGCGCCATTTCCTGCACGAGACACGGGCAGCTCTTCGCGCGGTTGTTCGCTTTGCAACAGCAGCTGACCATGCGCTGCACGACATGGTGCGTGGTGTGTGAGGAAAAGAAGCGAGCAAAGGTTCCAGGTATTTATATGTGTAAGTACAGAAGACACATTTTTTGGCCAGTCGCGAAGCACCAAGGCTCCCGGTTGTCTTGCAGGTTGTTTTCTCATATAGTGTTTCACGACCTATGCACTGTTCTTTCTCCTCTCCATCATGCTCTTCTATGTGTGAGCGCTTGCGCTTCTGTGACTCGTGTGAGCGCTCGCGCTTCTGTTATATGTCTGAGCGCTTGCGCTTCTGTCATACTCACATCGTGCGTCTCGAGCCCGTGGTTCACTTATGGGACGCACGTTGGCTTCCAAGCCTGGGGGACTTAGTTAGTCTGACGCTCGCGGCATGGCGGCCGCTCACCTCCAGGCGGTGCTGGGTTACCTGGAAGCCTTCAGCAGGGCGGCCTCGCCGGAGAATGCTCTGGCGGAATGTGAGAGGCAGGTCGACCTCCTTCAGGCTAGCCTCACAGAGACTGAGTTTGACTGCTCCTCTGCTTCCGAGGTTTTGGTCCTGCTAGACTCGGCAGCCGCAAAACTGTGCTTGTCAGAGCAGCAAAGGCGTCAGCTTGCGCAGGCGCTGCCCACAGCCACAGAAGGGAAACCGAGCAAGCCTTCCACTAAGCGGAAGCGTCGAGACCAGCAGGACTTCTCCTACGCCTTCCGGTACTTGACGAGAAGTGTCTGGCAGCAGCTACAGGACCCCGGCCTGCGCGACTTCAAAAAGCTGGACGTGCTGTCCAGCTACTTGGCCAGCTTGGGGCTCCGCTGTCCGTCCGAGTTCACAGCCCAAGTGGTGACCTGGTACTTCTTGCTGTACGGCTCGGACCACGTGCCCATGAACGACGCGTTGGCCGTGCACAAGCAGTACCTCTCAGTCAAGAACGCTCTGCAAAAGCACGCGCGTTTGTGTCCAAAGCTCCCCGACCTGCCGTACGTGGTGGCTCTCCCAAGCAACGTGGGCGACCTTGACCATGCTTGGCGTGACCGTGTCTTCGCGCAAGAAGCTCCCGCGGCGGCTCCCTTTGACGACGAGGAGTTCAGGCTCAACGCAGTCGGCGTGCCGGCTCGCATGAGCAACAAGTGGGTGCGGCTGCAGCTACAAACCCTGAAGATGCGTACGGGCAAGACTCCGGTTGGCCCTTGTGTCCGCAGCAGTAGCGAGATGAAGTTTGCACTGCCTCGCTGCCCCTCGACAATGGACTGCGACTCAGACGAAAGCCCACTGTTCTTGAAGGAGCGCCGCAGGCAACCGCCGGCAGCCCTGCTGCCCCCGCCTCCGCTGCAGCCCAGCCAGCACGCGCAGCTTCAGGTGCCGGAGATCCTAAACCTGTATAAGCCCTCGAGAGCCCCCTTTAGGTCCCGCTATACCTTGAACTCCTGAAGCCATGCTGCTGTGAGGCGTCTCGAGCAGAGGCGATGACTGGGCAGCCGGCTGCGACTCCTGCCGCATCTGGAGTTCCTCCGCTCAGTGTTGCTGAAGACAGCAAAGCTACTTCTTCACCATCTGCAGGGCTGCTTCAGGTGTGCTCCTCTGAGAAACAGTCGCTGGCGCTGCCGGCCACGCCTCTGCAAGTCTCGGACAGGCCCTGCCAGCCTGCCATGCTCGAGGTTGCTCGTGGGCCAGAGACTGCGCCCGTGCTCTCTGGAGCCGCGCCAGCTACTGGTAGTTTGGCGCCTGATGCTGCACCTCAGCCGGGTTCTTCTGCGAGTGTGCATGGCGGACCTGCAGCAGTCCTTCAGCAAAAGGGCGGCGAGGCATCTGGCCGAAGCTCGGTCTTGAATGCGGCGCTGGAGCTACAGGTAGCCATGGGCTCGAAACTGCCAAAAAGCTGGCGGCGCATGCGCTGGAGGAGCCAAAGAAGAGTACGCCACCCACTAAAGGCCAAAGCCCGAAGAAGAAGAAAAACAACAAGACGAAGAAGGAGAGCAGCGCCACGGGCAAGAAGTCTGGAAAGAACCCGACCTCGAAGCCCGACCCTCGTGCAGAGGCAAAGAACAAGGGCAAGTCCAAGAAGAAGACCGTGGAAGAGCGGCAGCACTTCAAGCCAGGTTCGGCGGCGGAGCGCGCGTATCGCAAGGCGTGCGGCGTCCCGTCGAGTCTCCTGCAGAAGTACAAGAAAGGCTGCAGCAAATGCAGGAAGCGGCCGGGCTGCACTCGTAGCTGCTGGCTTTTGCGACACTACCAGGTCTGATACCTGTGCACCGTTTTAGCGCATGGAGTTTTCATAGAAGCTCCCTCTGCTGCAGAATTCTCAGCGTCGTCGCATGTTCATATGCCTCACTGCAAGAGCGCGCGCTGGAGGTTGCACAGCGCGAGGTCGAAAAGGCGCAGTGTTCCCTGACCTCCTGCGCTTCAGACTCATTGCATAGGTTTATATGGCATTGTAGACCGTGTGCTTGCCTGAGCGCAGGGCGCTATATAGACCGATGCGTGCAGAGGAGCGTGTCGTGTATAGCATCTCTTCTCGAGCTGCCGGTTCCTAGACTTGCAGCTGCTGTGCGAGTGAGATGGCCAGCCTTGCCGCGGCGGAAGCTGCCGACGAAGTGGAAAGCTTGGGCTTCTACGTGGACGTGGGCTGCAGCGGCCAGAAGCGACCTGCTCATAGCCACGTCGACTGCGACGGCTCGAGCATGCAGCAAGCGACAGAGAACAGCAGGCTACCACATGCACAGCTCCACTTGTGCAGGGGCACTGTCCAAGAAGGAAGCCAAGTTCCTGGCCCGTGCTTCCGACCTTCTCAAGTGGTCCCAGCCCTACGCGGAGAAGCTAGCAGAGGAGATGGCTTACTTGGAGCGCGTGCTGACGGCTCTGCTGGACAAGCAAGCTGGTCGCACGCGAGTTTCTCTGTACTCCGTAAAGAGCCTCAAGGCAGGACTCGCTGGCGTCTTTCACGCCTTGGAAGCGGTAGTGCAAGCTTCATAGCTGGAGTGTTGCTGGTGCCAATGACGAGCCAATGTCTGTACCCAGACCAAAGGACTTCATCTGCTGCGCTGCGGGGCAGTCAGTTCACGCACGAGCGCTTGCGCTACTCTGAAACCGTCACCCTCAACCCTAAGCCCTAAACCCTAAACCCTAAACCCCCAAACCCTCAACCCCAAACCCTGTGAACGCTCACGTGCTGCAGACACTTCACAGTTCACGCACGAGCGCAAGCGCTGCGTCACGCACGGCGGTCTACGTAAGCGGGCAAGGGTGAACAGATCTAGAGACAGCGGGGACACTCATTGAGAGCCCCAAAGGGTTTACCAACAACAAAACACAAACAAAACATATGGAAAACACCGACAAAAACAAGCGAAACAAGTGAAAACCTCAAATTTCAAAATCGTAATTCTAAAGGAGGTACTTTTGAAACACCAACCCGAGGGTTTAGTTTAGGGTTTAGGGTCTAGGTTTTAGGGTTTAGGCTTTAGGGTTTAGGGTTTAGGGTTTAGGGTTTAGGGTTTAGGGTTTAGGGTTTAGGGTTTAGGGTTTAGGGTTTAGGGTTTAGGGCTTAAGGTTTAGGGTTTAGGGTTTAGGGTTTAGGGCAAGGATGTAGGGTTGGCCTGGATACCGCGGGATGCCACGGGATACCGCGCGATACCGTGCGATACCGCGCGATACCGGGGGAGCTGAGAGGATACCAGCGCGGTATCTCGCGGTATCCGGCCTTGTTCTTCTAGGCTTACGGACAGAAACCAGGCACGATACCGCGCGATACCGGTTTTGGTGGCTCTTGGATATAGGTTTGTAGGAAAAAAAGGGCGCGATACCGCGGGATACCGCTTGGCATCCCCCTGCAGCCCCATGCACAAAACCATGCCGCGATACCGCACGATACCGCGGGATACGCGCCGAAATTTGCTCCATCCTTCCTGTTTCCTGCCTTCCTTTTTCTCCGCTGGCTCGTTTGCACAGCCTCCCTAGCTCCTGACTTTCCGCAGCCCTCTCGACGAGCCACCGAAGCCATGGCTGCTGTCGACACCGTGTTTTGCGCTCGCTGCAAGGGAAGTGTGGCGAGGGAGGACGCGGTGAAGAAGAGCACGCACACCTATGTGCACAAGGACTGTCACTCCTTGCAGGTCTACGTCGCCAGGTTAACCTGGCCGCAAGACTTGGCATTCGAAGGCGCCGAGAAAGAGGAGTTCTTCTCCAAGGCGTCGCGGTGCCGTGACCCGACAACCGGAAAGGTCTGCCTCAACAAGTTGAGGAACGAGGTCACAAGAATCCTCACAACGAGGAGGATCCAGCAGATGAAGGATAGCACTGTGTCTCCCTTTCGTCCGTTGGACTACTGGAAGACAATGGGGTTCGACACAGAGAAGATCCGGGCGAACTGCCCTTTCGAAGAGCATCCCCAGGGTCTTGGCCGCTGCTACCAAGTCTCCTTGCACAGCGAGGAAAGCAACAACATCTGCGAGCAGATGGCGCAGGAGTCCATGCGCATCGAGCTGAAGGCCCGTAAGCGCACGCTGCCGGCGGCGCCTGTTCCTCCTGCCCTGAAGGACAAGGCCATGGACGACGTCGAGGAGCCGGACAAGGATGCGGCAGCAGAAGTCCTAGCGGACTTAGAGGAGGCCCTTGCGGACTTGACGGAGGACGAAGAGGAAGTGCAAGAGGCCCGGAACCGGTCTAAAGCTGAGGCCAAGGACAAGAAGAAGCAAGCCGCGAAAGACAAGAAGGAAGCCGCCAAGGCCAAGAAGAAGCAGGAGCAAGAGGAGAGGAAGCGCCAGAACGAGCTCTTCAACCTGGCGAGCAAGGCGAACCGCTTCCTTGCACAGCCTCTGGTCAAAGTGACCAAGGCGAGAGACCTCGTTGCCAAGGACAAGACAGCGTCGGAGCTTGTGCGCGAAAGCATTTGCTCCGCGCACACGCAGATGCAGGAGTGGCAAACGGCCGCGCTGCAGACAGTCTTGAAGCGGGCCAAGACGCCTGACGCTAAGCTTCAGGACCTGCCGTTCACCAACTTCAAGGAGCTGCAGCAGCAGGTCCAGGAGCACTTGACCCTGGCTGCCACTGTCAAGCCGCTGGCGAAGGCTAAGGCTAAGACCCGTGCCGGCGGCAGGAAGCGACCTCGTGAAGAGAAGGAAGCCCAGGACGGCGAGGAAGAGTCCGACAAGGAGGAGAGCAAGGAAAAGGACGACGACAGTGTCAAGTGCGAGACGCCCGAGGAGACCCAGGTCACTGCCGCGGATTCCACCGACAGCTGAGTCGGCCTGTAGTCCGCGCCTGCTTGCACGTTTGACGTCGTCGACATGCCCACCACGCACCTCAGCATGGCATGTGTGGGCCCCTGTCGCGGCAAGGAACACACGCGAGTCAGTGGAAGACAGCGTTCGTCTCCGAACGCACGCAAACAACGAGGGGGAAAAGGTGAACTTGTGCGTCGCATCCGAGCGCTGGCGCTTCTGCTACACGTTAAGTACTTGCGCTTGTGGTACACGTCATATAGTTGCGTTTGTGTACAATGCTGAGCGCCTCACGCGCTGCATAAAGTGAGCCAACGCCGTGGCCGGTCCAGTTGCAAGGCACATGCAGTTCCCTTTCATGCGCAGTCACCGCAATGGCTGACACGAGGCTGACGCACTGCGTGGTGATAAGTGCATCCACCGAGGAAAACCTGAGGCATCAGCTCGAGAACATGTCCGCCGACACACTTCGGCTGCTGGCAACCATGACCGTGGATGTGCTGGCCGCGAGGGTCGTCACCGATACTCCTGGCGCACCTGCTGGACTCGGTGGCCAAGCGGCGGTTGGAGAGGGGGACTTCAGCATGCTGGGCAGTGGGCTCACGGAGATAAACGTGGCGAGTGAGTTTACGGACTGACGTGCCAGCTCTGCCCATCGGTATGCTGTTTTTGGTAGGTCTGCAACGTTCGAAAGTCCAGAGGAAGAAAACCGGCACCCTTTTGCGGCTGCATCGAAACAGCGACAATGCTTCAAGCATGCAAGGCCCAAACTCCCGAGCGCTCGCGCTTCCGAGTGTGTACGTAAATTTTGACATAGATGCTATGCCGGACAGTTTGTTTTGTCGCAGCTTATATGGTTTCTAGACGCGGCGTCCCCCGCGTGGCTGCGAGCTCGCTTGTCTCGAACACGCAGAGCAAGAACATCGCCGCTGGCGCCCACGCACAGCTGCACCTGCGCGCTTAGAACGCCTGCATGGTTGCTGTTGACAGCGAGGAGACTGCGTGAGTAGAGGCCTCGACGGACTGGGACCGGCTTTCTAGCCAGACGTGAAATTCATCCGTCTTTGCCAAGCATTTCGCGAGTGCGCACACAGCACAGATGCTAGAGCGCGGAGCGCTGCCGCTGGATAGTATAAATCAGGTCTTCTGTGCAGGAGACATTCAAAACTTGCTGGCACTATCTTCTCAAAGCCTCGTCACCGAACCGCCGCCAGAGCCTCACGCTTGACCATGGTCTACGGCGTCTGGGCGGACATACACGACCGCGAGAAAACTCGACTCTACGTGGGCAACAAGGGTCCGCGCAGAGAACGCGAGGCTGGTGCTGCGCGTGAACCCCCAACCATACAGCATTTAATAACCCTAGACCCTATAGACGCCGAACCCTAAATCCGAAAACCATACGTAATACTTTACACAAAATAGAAATGTTTCGGGTCAGGTCCTTGTCGTGCGTGACCTGCGCACGTACTGCGTAGACACCCGGGCCAAGGAAGAGGAAGAGCAGAGCAACGTGGTTGCTGTGGAGGACTCGCCCGAGAAGGCCAGCAGCTCCAAGACCAAACAACAGGAGCCTGGCCTGAAAGAGACGCAGGAGGCGAGCCAGGCGGACAGCCTCACGAGGGAGTTGACGGACTTAGTGGCTGAAGCCCAAAGAGCTCAAGGTGATGCCGAAGTGGCGTGGGAGAAGGACTTGACTACTTGCATGGACACTAGCTACGAGCAGTGTGCTCTGGAAGAAAGCCTGCAGATGGCAAACAAGAAACAGAAGAAGAACGCTTGGAGTGCAAAGGCAAAGTCATGCCCAGCAGACAGCCGCCGAGGACAGAAGAACAAGAAAGACGTGTCTGAGGAAGAAGCGCAAGCTGGGAAGAAGGCACGACCAGCTGTGTCGTAAGAAGTCTACTGCAGGGTCAGTCGAGGCACAAAAAAAAGCGCAATGTGCTGCGGTGCATCTGTCGTATATGGAGTATATATAGGCCTTGAGCGCTTGCGCTGCGCCTGATGCACTGGACTCGTCCAGGCCCCAGCCATGACAGGGTCGACTGTCGAGCACATTCGGCTTTGAGCGCCTGCGCTACACGTGATGCAATGGACTCCTTGCAGGCTCTAGCAATGACAGAGTCGACTAGTAGCAGCAGCGCCAGAAAGAGACAGCGCGAGATCCGCGATGCCGTGCTGCCTTGTTTGGGCCACGCCGGCACGAACGCTGGTCACGTTGACCGAACGCTTCAGCGTTTGCACCAGGCCGGGATCGTGGAGAAGCCTCCAAGCAAAGGTTCGGTGCGACATCGTGACTACCGCATCCGAAAGGACTGGCTACAAGAAACAACAATGACAGCGACACTGCCCCTCACTGATGATCGGGAGCACCAGTGGCCAGTGGTGGATGTCTTGAAGGCCACCGAGGCCATGGCTGAAGCGAACCCCGCCTACGGAAAAAAGCTACTGGAAGCGGTTTTCCGCGTTGGTCAGGAGACCAGCATAATATTATACTGCGATGAGGCCACGCCTGGAAATCCCCTAGCCCCATGCGTGCAGCGCAAGGCGTACTTGTTCTACATTGGCTACAAATGTATGAGGCCCAGGCCTGGTTCCTGGATCACTGTGGCTGCGCTGCCTTCCAACCTCTTGACTGATGTCATAGGCGGCGTCGCTGGTGCAACCACAGTTTTGCTACGAGCCCTGACGCCTTGCTGGAACGGTCGCACACTGCTGATAGCAGGCCAGCGTATATTTTGCAAGCTGCGCCTGGAGGCTTTTTCTGGAGATGAAGCTGGTCTAGCAGCGTGCCTGGCTGCAAAAGGGGCATCCGGTAGACGACCGTGTTGGCTGTGCTCCAACCTCATCTCGAAGCTATGCCGTGATCAGTTGCTTGAGAGGGGGCAGGCAAATGTGCTGAACAAGTTCGTGACCATTGACGAAGCTGTTGCTGGGACTTGACTTGGCTTCTTTACTTTACGCCGTTTTCTCCGTTTAGGTCTGGGTGTTTGGGCTTCGGGCGTTCCGGGTTTCAGCGTGTGTCTATGCTCAGGACAAGACAAAGTACAGTCCGGCGACGGACACCAGCATATATGCTGCCTTGGACTCTTTGAGCGCTTGCGCTGCTGTGGAGACCAAAGGCGCTCTCGAAGATCTCAGCAAAAATCTGGGATGGAGACACGAACCGCGAGGACCCCTGGCACAGCCAGAACTGCGTAGCTTGCTTCGGCCAGCCGCTACAGTCTTCGACGTGCTGCAACTGGATGCAATGTAGCATATGTTTGGCTTAAAGTGGGCATGGACTAGTCGCCTTTTAGATGCTATTGATCCGAGGCACTGCTACTACTCGGGGGGGATTGTCGCCCAGGAAGTTTGTATGCTGCTGCAGGCCTTCAACCAGCAAGGACTGAGCAACCAGGCCCTGCAGGAGCAGCTGAGCGCTCCACTGGAGTTTCTGCACAACCGCCCAAAGTTGAGAACTCTGGACAAGAACTTCTTTTCAGAAAAATTATGGAAAGCAGATGGGCAGGATCAAGTGGCCATGATGCCACTGCTTCATTTTTACATCGTCTCCGTCCTCGATGTTGCCATCAAAGACAAGCTCTCTGAGCAAGTACACTGCTTCCAGCTGCTGTGCAAGCGGGTTTTTTATCTGGAAGCGCTTCGCATGAGCAGGGACAGTGCACTACTTCCCTTGCTGGAGTCAGCGGAGAAAGAACACCACGAGGCATTTGCGACTGTGTGGGGCCTCGCAGAAATGAGACCGAAGCATCACTACAGCCGACATCAGGTGCAGCAGTTTCGCCAACATGACGAGATTATAGACACCATGAACACTGAGCGAAGACATCAGATCTACAAGACACTCTGCAACAACAAAATCAAAGATGTCAGGCACTTGGAGTGGGCTGTACTTGCTGGCTCCTTCTTTAACGAAAAGGAAGTCTTGGAGGCTGCGACATGGAATCTGTGCGTCACGACAGTGGAAAATGGTCGAAAGGCTGCTGTGTGTGCCTGGCGTCGATACATCGTGGGCAATCCTATCGTTGTGTCAAACCTGGAGACGTGTGGGGTTATTGAAGACGTGCAGCAAACAGAAGCAGGAACCCTCTTGGTGCTCGCGATGTACAACCTGGCTGCAGTGATCGATACAGGAATCATGCAGTGGACGCGCAGTGATGTACAAAGAAGCCTCGAGATTGCGGAGGACCAGAGAAACGTCCTCCTGCCTGCGTGCTGGAAGTTCGCCGGGCCGTCGCTACTGACGTTGTGGTGAAGAAACGGAGTACCGAGCGCAGTGCGCTTCTGCATGACTGCATGATAAAGGTGGTCAAAGATAGACGTCATCTCATGTCTGGTATAGGTAGACAATCTCACTGCTCCGGGAAGGAACACACTACACTTGCCCCAAAAACGTATAAAACCCAGTATATTTTTCAGCCTCCGGCTTGAACGCATGCATTTTCTGGCAAAAACAACATAAAGTGCATCAAATTAGAAGGTCTTATGTGGACATGGTTCATGTGCCAAAACAACAAAACAAAACACAAAAAATAACTTAACTTGAACTTAACTTTACTTAACTTTTACTTAACTCTGGTTTTTACATGCCTCAAAAGCTAAGTAGCTAAGTTCGCTAAGTTCCCGGATAAGTTATGTTAGCGCGCTTCAAAAAGTGAACACCGACAAGATGCCAGCGAGCCCTAGCGTAAAGTGCTGCATCTGTGAACTTAGCATGGTTGACCCCGTGCACTGTCGACACGAACGCTGCGTGCACCTTGAACCTGGTGCCTCTACTCGTGCTTGGCTAGGCGGACCGCATCAGCGAAAAGAAAGTGCAGTCTTTCACCATTCAAGGTAACAGTGTTCCCAGCAGCTCTGCGAAAAGCCCGCACGGCCAAGTGCAACTGTACAGCCAATGGCAGCCACTTGGTAAACTGCCCGGCCTCAGTGAGGAGAATCTGACAGCGCTTCGCGCTGCATCTTTTTGCGAAACTCTACACTTCGTTCTGCAAGAGCGAATCATACGCAGCCTCCTGCCGTCTGACGCAACGGCACGAGTCAGCATGCTTCCTGCCTGTCGAGAAGAGCAAGATGACTTGGACCGCCAAGAGAACGATGATGACAAGGAACACCCAAACTTGAACTGGTGAATAGTGTTCCACAAGGGCCGTGAGCGATGCCAAGATGAGACTTACGCAAATGGTGCTGTAAAGGTAGGCGAGTGGGCAGCATAAGAAAGCAAGCACCAGTTGCACAGGACCTGCGCCATAGGACAGCACGAACTTCACCATTCGAAGGAGGATCGGGTAGGTCAGGGGGTAACCTGCACCGATGCACAGGACCCAGCCAGTAGCCTGCACTGCCATGTACTGCGGGACTGAACTGAAGCCAGCCAGCCGCGCAGACTCTTCACATGGTCCATTGTCACAGCCCAGGACATTCACCGAGCTGTAGAAGATCAATGGGAGGAAGGCAATCAAACAAATTCGCCATGGCACATACCTATACTCCCCTTTGAACCTTAATAAACAAATGGTTTAATATCCTCTTGGGTATTACATAAACAAAGACTAAAAAAACAATTCCCAAGGAGGATATAGATACAGCTCTTTGCCAATCTGTGTGATGACGAACTCACGCAGGGTCCCGCGGACATATTCGTTGAACCGGTCCAGACTATCATTCCCATACTCTTCAGTCAGTGGAATAAACTTCTGTATGCAGATTTCGCCTGCGTCAACAGGGCTGGCATTCTGGAGGTCATTGTTCAAACCATTTCGCTGAAAAAGCTCTTTCACATGCTGCTCGATTGCCTCGCGATCGGAAGGCACTGTGCAATGAGCCGCACGGACGTCAAAGTTTGCCATCTGGTCCAACATGAGCTGATGACTCTGAATCTTCATCTGGAAGGAGAAGAAGCTCGGTATGCACACGGGCCTATACTGCCCTTAGAACCTTAATGAACATAATAGTTTAATTATCCTCTTGGGCTTTATATGAACAAAAAATGAAAAAGTAAAAAATCCCAATGGGGATACAGGGGCAAGTGCACCGTCCCGCTGATCATCCCGATGATGAATTGCGCCGCGAAGGTGAGCATGGCCCCGTTCGCGCTCTCCCCGCCGAGGATCGGCTTCAGGACCTGGGTAGCCCCGAACCATATGATAGGAAGGGCACCCTTGGGTTTATGGCTTAGGGATTAGGGTCTAGGGAAGCAGAACTAGAAAAAAGGGAAAAGGGCACCACTGGGCTACCCAGGGACTCCCATGATGTCGGTCATCCACGCCGCGCTCCAGTTTGGAAAGACATGCATCAGCAGGTCAAGCAGGCTCGTGCTCAGAAGATCGAGGAAGATCGAGCTAAGCAGCCACGGAGCCAGCCATAAGGGCATCACATCTACATTCTCCAGGCCACAGTACCGTGAAAAAGTTCCAAGTTCTAGGTTGCACCATAGTCGATCAAAATAAGTGTCGTATGTATGTATGGCGTGACTGCACCCTGCCACAAGTGTGGGTAACAGCCAGTCAAGGCGTCTAGAAGTCCCTCACCCTGCCCGCTGCTCTAGCGACCTGGGCGACAGCATCGTGCCAGGTGGCAACAAGCAAGGCTTGGCGGGTCACCGCAGTTTCTGCCCAGGAGGCAGCTTGAGCCGCAGCCATCTTGGCTGCAGCGAAAACATGGGTAAAAGGCGCAGTGGCTTGACCAGCTGCGCTGTCAGCAGTCTCATTGAGAGCGCGCAGTTTTGCGGTAGGCACTGGAGCAAGTGGCGACTCCCATTCGGGATGGCGGCCATGTGCAGGAACCCAGTACACAGCGGAGCCTGTGAACAAGCGCCCAGTAGGCTCGAAACTCGCCGTTTATGGCAAGAGCAGATCGGAACCCGGTAACCAAGGCTTTGTTGTCTGTGAAAACACACACTGGCGCACCCAGCTGGGCAGCTGCTGTGGCTAACACGAGGAGAGCATAGCGCTCTGCTGCAGCGGAGGACCTATCTAACCCAGGAACCACCCCACCAAACCCTACACCAGGTGCACAAGCAATGCCCCAGCCTGCGTGCTGGAACCACAAGAGATCATGAGCCTCAGGGGCATGCAAGGCGCTGCCATCGGTGGCAACCAGCAGTGCAGAGTCAATCGTCTCGGCGTCCGAGAGTGCAAGCAACAAGTCCTCAGGGACATCCGGGAGCTGCCACTCAGGGGCACTCAGCCCGGAAAGCAGGGGAACCAAGAAACGGTGCTCTGCAGAGGAGCGATGAGCCAGAGGGGAAGGCATAGCCGGGCAGTCGAAGGTGACATGCGTGCGCGTGGGGAGCGGGTCACCGCACACGCAAGGCGTGAAGGGAATGCGCATGCGTTCCAAGGTGCGAGTATCATGAGCGGCAGCGTGCAAGACACGGCGCATCGCACCACCAGTGGCATGGTGCGGCGCTTGGGCACGGTGGTAACGCAAAGCAAAATGCGAGGTGGCCTGCAACGGGGCACCTGATTTAGGGTCGCAAAATAAGTGTCGTCCCATAAGATGAGCATGCGGCGAGAGTTGGCAACAAAGATGGGAAGGGCTGCTATTTGCTCTGCCTTCTGCTCCTCGTCCGTCTGATGAACGCAGAGCCTGTCCAGCCACAGCGAGGGTGAGCCGAGCCCACAAACAGCGCCCACAAGCTGCTGCCCGAAAAGCAGGGTGACAAAAAACACAGCCATTGGCAAGTATACGAGGCATGGAAGGGCGAGGTAGCTGCCACCAAGACTCGTCAAGCCACCCACTCCCAAGAAAAGACCGGCAACTAAACTCCACGCTGCGATGGAACACCACAGCGCTCTCTCCAAGTTGAAATAGAGGCAGAGAGCCAAGTACTTCTGCCAGCGCCCAGCGCTCCAAGAGTGCCCAATGAAAACGTCGATGTGATCCGTCTCCACGGATCTTTCGAAGAGGGTCCTGAGATGGCCCTGCTCTGAGACCCTCTGAAAGAGACATGTTTTTTTGATAAGCCTCAATATAACTATCCTCTTAAAACCCAATAAGGGGAAAACGGGGAAAACTCTAAAGTGGGTCCCAAAAAGAGCCGACCTAGGGTCTTCCCCGCGAGCTGTACCTGCTCTGCTGTCGGAAAGCGGCTCTTGGAATTCCCGCCGGCCGCCATGAGAGTCATGAGGCCATCGTTGAAAATCATCCCGAACCCTTTGAGCAAATTCCTGCACCACTCTTGGGGTACTTTTTGAAACGATCATGTTTGTTCCTTTTAACTTTTTTGCGGTTTCTAAAGTATTCATTAAAGAGGTAAATGCTGTTCAACAATGGCCCGGTTTCCCCACGGTCGTGCTCCGGAAGTAGCCGCGGCGGCGTGCTTCCTCGAACGCGGAGCGACGGGCCTTCCGGAGGCGGCGCCGGTCATCCTCCGACATCGACAGCTTGCCTCCCTCCAGATTTTGTGGGAGGATCCACCTTAAGTAGATCCCTTGTTGGGGTTCCTATAAGAGTAGCCCAGTAGTAGTATAGGGTACGATTTGTTGGGGGCTCAATTTGTTTGGATCCTCTCACAGGTCTGGGTCAGGAATAAGCCTGAACATGAGCGGCGAATGTGGAGATGGTTGCGGATTGCTCCTGCAAGTGCGAATGTCTGAAACCTTTCATGTGTGGCTTTGCTTCCACGGGGGACAAGAGTCTTTAGTGATGGTTGCTGCTGCATCCCCGGCGTCAGTGTGTGTGTGTGTTCACCGCACGGTATTCTGGGAGGAATTCTGGGACGAACTTGAGCCAAATGAACAAGATCGCCAGAGTTGCGGGAGTTTCTGATTGCATGCGCTCTCAAGATGCAATGTCATATCTGTTGAGACTGCAGAATTTGGCTCCGAAGCCTGTCAAAACAGCTGCATCAAAACAAGCCTCCAGGCACAGGCAACCTTTCCTTAGTCATGTGCGTTCCTGTGCCCCCCCCAAACTGGAAAGTCAGACAGTGCCAACATCGAACAGAACCACGGCCTTCACACCGAGTGTGGGCATGACTGGACTGCTGGTTCGCACGCTATCACTGTTGAAGATCACGAATCCCTTCGAGTAAGTCCTGCTACAACACATCAGTCCATTCCTTGGCTACTCCAATGCTGGCCCGGAGAGTCCCTTCTGCAGGAGGAATAGCAAAACTAGAACAGGCAAAAAGCAAAAGAATCGGGCCAAAGGTTTTCGGAGAGCCAGAAAGCGATAAAACTTGAAACACAGATTCGGGCCAAAGGTTTTCGGAGAGCCGGCGATAAACTTGAAACACCGATTCGGGCCAAAGGTTTTCGGAGAGCCAGAGCGCGATAAACTTGAAACACCGATTCGGGCCAAAGGTTTTCGGAGAGCCAGAGCGCGATCAACTTGAAACACAGATTCGGGCCAAAGGTTTTTTTTCGAGTCATGTACAACCCTCAAACCTCATTGGGTTAAGGGTTTGGGGCTGACGTTGCTTGTGAACAAGCCCAACAAAATGCGGCACGGCCAAAGCCCCGCGTCCAACCTGTTGGTGAGTCTCGCGCCCGACACCCGGTGATGTAGGATGCGTCCACCCCACCATCAGAAGGCAGAGAGCAAGGCGGCCGTAGGGCGAACCCCCGACACCTGCAGGAGTCCCCGGCGTCCCGCAAGACCTCCAGCCCCATGCTTGCCGATGGGCCGTAGCAGCGTGTGCTACTTTACAAGCTACGCGCAAGAAGCTTGACGGACCCAAGCGGAGGTCAGAGGAAGCTCGACGAGCCCAAGCAGAGGTCAGGTGCGAAAAGGGCCAGGCAGGCCGGGCACAGAGGGCAAGCAAGATAAGCAAGGGCAGAGGTCTGCTCTGTCACGGGCGCCCAGCTTGGGAGCATTCGGGATCACGGGTTTTGCAGCGGAGTGGAGGCGGACTGCGCGCCATCGGGCAGGCGGCGCAAGACGGCACGGGCGTTCTCACGCTGGAGCGTGACGCTGAGGCACTGCAAAAGCTGCTCGGTGGCCGCGCCCGATCCATCACCGGACTTAGCGGCCAGGAGCGCCCCGAGTGTGCGCCAGACTTTGATTGCTTCACGTCCCCAGCCACCACAGGATGATTCCGCAATGAGGGGGAGGAACTGCAGCCCCTGGTCTCGGCAGAGGGCTGCCGTGTTAAGATGGGAACGCTTGCGTTCCTCGTAAGCCGCACAAGTGTGAGAGCCATCTGCAGCAGAGGCGGCAGCTGCCCCACATCGCAAGCCGCTCGTGACGGCAAGGTCGAACACTGCAGGCCCGTGCAACCCCCAATGAGGCACAAAGACATCGGCTGGTCGGCGGCCACCCCCGACGGACTCCCCAACTGCGCCTGCCTCACAGGCTCCAAGTTCAGCAGGGCGGGCGGGGAGGAGGTTTGGCTTTTCAATCTCAGGGGATAAGCCTGCAGCATGAGCCCGCTCGGCCAAAGGTTTTCGGAGAGCCAGAGCGCGATAAACTTGGTTTTGGGAGAGACAAAGCGCGATCAACTTGAAACACAGATTCGGGCCAAACGTTTTTGGGGAGCCAGAGCGCGATAAACTTGAAAACAGATTCGGGCCAAAGGTTTTGGGAGAGACAGAGCGCGATAAACTTGAAACACTCGGCACCACCAAGGAAGCCATAGGGGTGTTGCACTCCATCGCGGCTGACGTGGCGAATATGGAGGCGCGGGAGACCGCTGATTTTCGGGAGGGGATGTTTGGCAGAATCGCGGTTGTGCTGGTGCGCGCGGGTGCAGCGGCTGTAGCCCGACGTCGCCGGCACATCAGCGCCTGCAGCCCGATAGGGGCGTGTTTGGTTGAAGCGGCGCTTGACATGCCGCATGAGCCAGGGCAGCGCTAGATCGTCACACAATGGTGAGGAGGCCTCTTTGAACGTCTGCACCGAGTGAGCTCCCATGGTGTTGCTTTGTCAGAAGTCCTCGTGCCAGCCTCAGAAGTAGGGAAGGGCTTGCCCTGTCGTCGCGCCGCCCTCAGAAGTAGGGAAGGCTTGCAGGGCGTATGGTACTGTCTAAGACCCATCTATGCAGGGCTGAAACACAGATTCGGGCCAAAGGCTCTCGGAGAGCCAGAGCGCCAGAGCGCGATAAAACTTGAAACACAGATTCGGGCCAAAGGTTTTCGGAGAGCCAGAGCGCGATAAAACTTGAAACACAGATTCGGGCCAAAGGTTTTCGGAGAGCCAGAGCGCGATAAAACTTGAAACACAGATTCGGGCCAAAGGTTTTCGGAGAGGCAGAGCGCGATAAAACTTGAAACACAGATTCGGGCCAAAGGTTTTCGGAGAGCCAGAGCGCGATAAACTTGAAACACAGATTCGGGCCAAAGGTTTCGGAGAGCCAGAGCGCGATAAACCGATAAACTTGGAACACCGATTCGGGCCAAAGGTTTTCGGAGAGCCAGAGCGCGATAAACCGATAAACTTGAAACACAGATTCGGGCCAAAAGTTTTCGGAGAGCCAGAGCGCGATAAACTTGAAACACAGATTCGGGCCAAAGGTTTTCGGAAACCCAGAGCGCGACAAAACTTGAAAGAGCGCGATAAAACTTGAAACACAGATTCGAGCCAATGGCTTTCGGATAGCCAGAGCGGGTTAAACTTGAAACACAGATTCGGGCCAAACTTTTTCGGAGAGCCAGAGCGCGATAACCTTGAAACACAGACTCGGGCCAATTTTTTTTTTCGCACCTTTTTTTACCTGCACGTGAGAGTTCTCGGTCCCTCACGGCCGCTCAGCTAGCAAGTCCCCCAGAGGGATCTCTGCGCCATCACCGGCGTTTCGCAAACAGACCGGCAGCTCCAGCAGGGACTGCGCATGCCAGCGTCCCGCTGCTGAAGCGGCCCCCGACCTCAAGGCCGAACACGACGAGGCGGCAGCGGTCCGGAGCTCAGGGCACGTGCGCATTTTACGCTGGGCCGCCTGCTCCAGAGCGAGACCCGGCCGCACATCCGCGCCCGCGCCTGCCCGTCGCGTCGGACGGGGCAAACCAAGGTGGTGTCAACCCCGATCTGCGCCCCCTGCCACAAAGGCAGGCCGTTGGCCACCACCTTGATCCTCCGGCCGTCCGTCGCCGGAGCGCAGGCGGAACGGTGGTCCCCGAGCTCATCGAGGGTTCCGCCACAGCGGCATCGGTGTGGGGCGAGTGAGCAGCAACGCCAGTCGCAACAGCCGAAGCGGGAAGATGCGGGACTGCCCACTGTCGACGACGAAGTCCTGGCTGGATGGCGGTGATCGCGCAGCTGGCTCCTTCTTCGCCGCTTTAGTACAGCAGCAGCGCCCGGGATGCAACATCCAAGTCAGAAAAAAGCATCTCGAACGCGCGCTAATCCACAGCAGCTCCGGCACTTTGCTGCCATCCCCGGAAAGCCCAGCATCTTCTCCGAGGTTGGGGCGCGCCGTGCCCTCCAACAGCGCTGCCCAAGTTGGCGCCTGATACCCCTGCGATCGTAGGGATTGCGCGGCCTGCTCTGCCTCCCTGACCCTGGGGGGACACCCGCTGCTGCGACATTCAACAGGGGCCGCATGAGTGCGGCGAGCGTGCCGGGGTGGCACACCTGCAGCGCGGTGACGGTGTCTGCCTAGGAGGCCCAATACGCCGCATGCCTGTGCTCCCTAGCCGGCGACAAGCCAAGGCCACCCATGCGCAGTGGCAAGTGGGCTCGCCGCTCGCTCTCAGGTGGGAGGTCCAGCGGCACGTCCCCCCCTCGACAGCAAGGTCGCCAGGCAACGCAGTATCGCTTCGTCGTGCGACGCCGCGTACGCCGCTGTTGCGCTCGGCGGCACCGTGCGCAGCAGGTAGTTACACCGAGGCGCCGCGCAAAGCAGGAGCAAAAACCACGCGCTCTGGAGGTCCTGGACGGCCGGCAAACGCGCGAGAAGGAGGTCCTGCTGTCTTCGTTTCTCCTCCAAGATGGACGCAACGTACTCGCGGCTGCCAATGGGAGCCCCCAGCACCACCAGCCCTTGGATCTGCCTCACGGCGGGGCAGGGCCGCGACCAGGCCCGGAGGCTCCTCGCCAGCGGCGTTCCGCACCCGCGTCTTGCCGAGGTGGACTTGGACGTTGGCGTGTTGGGACAGAGCCTCTTGCGCTGACCGCAGGGCGGGGAGGGTCTCCGGCGTGGACGTGACGTAGACGTCATCCAGAAAAGCATACAGGCCTTCGTCTGGCCGCAATGGAGAGTAAAGGTGG